GCGGCTATTAATATAGCTCACAATCCGGTGCAGCATGACAGAACTAAGCATATCGAAGTTGATCGACATTTTGTCAGAGAGAGGGTCTCATCACAAGAAGTGTGTCTCCCGTATATCACCTCCAACATGTAGCTCGCAGATCTTCTCACCAAGGCTGTACCAAGGAAGAAGTTAGAGGCAGACCTATTCAAGTTGGGAATGACAAATATCTATTTCCAACTTGAGGGGGAGTGTATTGAACACTAATGTGGGCCCCACGGCTGTGGTCCCCACTGTGTTCGTATGACAGCATGTGTAACCTTTGTTAGTCATGTTAGTGTTAGTTGGTAGTTATCTTAGACAGCTTGTTATTTCAGTTTGTTATTTATTTCAGTCTTTTATTTGTTTTATTTGCCATGTAAGTAATAAGGGCAGTTCTGTCCTTTCCTACATATAGTGAACATAACCTATAAATATTAAGAGAGTGGCGGCGGCAGACTCATTCAATCTGTCCCTCCTTTCAAAACCCTTGTGCACTTCTGCTTCTTCTCCTTTCTTCTCCTTTCTTCTTCCTCTTCCTTCTATTTTCTCAATCAGAAATCAGTTGGGATTCAAGACTGATTGTAGTCTTGATCGACTACTGAAAGCTCAGGTTAGATTAGAAGGGGGCTCTCAGATGGTCATTGGATGAATGAGAGATCGCTTTTTTGGTGGTTAGCCCCTACAGTATGGGACATATGATTGTAGGGGCAATAGGTATTGGCATCCAGAATGGAAATCTTGTTCAGATGGAATTTGGCTTCATTGGCCCCTAGAGTATGGGACATGATTGGAGAGATGCTATAGGTATTGGCATCCAGAACGGAAATCTTGTTCAGCTGGAATTTGTAGTCCACTAATGCCCCGACAGAAAGTTTAGGCAGGTGCAGAATGAGAGGGATAGGGGGGTGATATTCCAGGACAACAATTCATGTATTCCATTTATTTCAAGTTCCCTTTCCACTTATCTGGGACTTCCAATTGTAGCAAAATCATCATCACCTTATATTTTGCAATCAAATTTAGACAGAATTTATCAAAGATTAGCAGGATGGAAGGAGTATTTGTCATTAGGAGGAAGGATAACCTTGATTAAGAGTGTGCTGTCTAATTTACCAGTTTATTATTTTGAAGTGCAAACCTTGGTTCTTATTGGAGTGTTAGGGGCCAAGTAAGTATCACTTGGTGAAGTGGGAGGTGTGTAAGGACAAAAAAAATATGGGGGTTTGGGGATTAGAAGGTTGAGATTGTTTAATAAAGTATTTCTGGGAAAATGGTTATGGAGGTTTGGTTGTGAAAGGCATTCTTTGTGGAGTTATTGCTTGAAAATATGGGGTGGTGAACTTTGGGTGGGATTCGGATGAGGTAAAGTCAACCTATGGTTTTTGTGTGTGGAAGGGGATAATGAATTTTGTTTGCCCTAATTTTGGAAACAGAGCAAGTATTAGGTTTTGGGAGGATGATCGGTTTGGGATTGGAAAATTATGTGGTATGCCCAAGGCTGTATACACTGAGTAGGAGAAACATACCAGTTTCTCGATGCTATGAAGTAGTTCAGGGTTTGGTTGTATGGTTTCCAGGATTTAAAATACCTCCTTGACTGGGAAATTGAAGAATTGTGTTAATCTTTTAGCCAAGGTGCATGCAGCAGAGTTGGATTTGGAAAGTGCTGATTCAAGATGCTGGAAGGAGAGTAATAAAGGCATGTTGACTGTGAAGTCATTCTACAAGGCACTAGCAAGGAGTCAGGTTGAAGGGAAGATATTAAAGGTGTTCGTGGCAATGCCATCCCTCTCAGTGTTCAAGATGCTATGTGAAGATCATTTGGGGATGCTTTTTTCTCAGTGTTCAAGATGGAGATGTGGAATTCAGAATCTCCATGAGAAATTTTTGCTCGCTGGCCAAGTCTAAAATGGAAACAGAAAGGCAAAGATAGTTGGAGCTGTGTGCCACTTGCAATCTGTGGGGAGTTGTGGAATGAAAGAAATAGAATAGTTTTTGAAGACAGACAAAAGTCACAATCATCAATAATCGGTAAAATGATTTTGGAGTCGGTCTTGATTCTTTCAGATTTTGCAGGGGATAGCAAGGAATCCTTTGGTTCCAGGTTTTGATCTGTATTTGACATTGGAATTGAGGGGCTTGATGACGTAATAATGTACTGATTTGTTTTTTACCTCTTTTGCTGATCTCTCATCCCCTATCCTTTGTACTCCTTGTTTCCTTTTCACTAGTAATTTTTTCTTCTTTGTTTATTACCAAAAAATATTTCTTCATAGTTTGCTTTCTAAATCTGCATGACAAAACCTGGGTTCACAACCCTTCCTCTTGAAAGTGGCAGTTTGTTGCATGTTGCACTTTATTGTCCCCTCTTTTATTCATTAAATGAAATTTGTTTTTGATAAAGAGATACTAGTCTATGTATACATTACCAATTTCTTGTTCTATGGTTTAAAATTTCTTTTTCATCTTACATTGCAGTTCTGTTCTTGGTGGATCAACAGAAGATGATCAATCTTATTTTGTTTCCAGAGATGCAATTTTCCTGATATATGAGGAGATTCTCAAAAAGTTTATCCTATTTCTCATGGAATCCCCTTTTAAATGGGCTAAGGATGCATGCTCCTTAATAGAATGCATCATGGAGAAAGATTTAATGCCTAAATGTGAATCTTATGTTAACATACTTGAGATGGCACAATTTGCTTTTGAAGTTCTCAAGGGTAGTTTCTTTTGCTTAAAGATTTTCAGTGAGGAACACAAACTTCTTACATGTATTTCAACCGTCTTGTTTATTATTGACTGGGAGCATAGCATGGCATCAGAGGTTGCTATAGATGGGAGTTCAATGACATCTGGGTGTATACTTGATGCCGAGTCACAGAAAAGGCTTGATTCTAAGTTCAGTTTTGGAGAATCCATGCATGCTTTTCGTTGCAAGATAAGTCCTAATTTCTGGAAGGGTTTTAACATGTGCAATCTGAAGAAGTTGACAAGTATTTTGATTCAGACTATTAGGGATGCCATCTTCAAGACAGATACCTTTTATACAGACAAGGTTATATCCTTGTGCTGTCAATGGATGCTTGAGATTCTTGATATCCTCTGTTGGGATAATTGTTCAGAGCAAACTTTGTTAGACCAGTTGTTTGACAAGAGAGATTTTTGGCCTTTGTGGGTTGCGCCTGCACTTGACAATGATTCAAGATCAGCCATCCTTAAAGCTAAAAGTATTCTTACAGATGCTCATGTGAGGAATCTTTGTTTAGTTATTTGCACTGATATTCACTTTTCTTAGCAAGTTCTCTTTATAATAAGCCTCTATTATCTTTTGTCTGTGGTTCCCATCAGCATCTAGTAAAATGGTGTCAAGTTGGATATCTCACTGAATTATATAAACTATCACAGATTCTATTAGAAAAGGCCACCATTAATTTATTATAATTATATGGATTACAAAATTTGTTCCTTTTTGTAGTTTATGAAAGATTACCTTGGATATTCCTAGTTTCCAACTTGGATCACCATGAAAGTTGGTGCTAACTTCTAATGCTAAAGCATGAGTAAGAAACTAAATAAAAGGTTAAGAATGGCACTGCAATAATTAATCTAAAAGTTACTAAGAATAGAAATAATTAGCAAGTTTATCATTTGCTATAAATAGTGGGTGCATGCAAATCCAAGAACCTAGTATATTTGTCTTCTCAAAGTTTTAAGCAGAAGCCAAATAGTTCAAAAATAACACGAGAGTCTAACTTAGTAAGAAAGTCATTGACAAATTAAGTCATTCTTGTGATAAGTGGAGTACACATTTCTTAACTGTCCATCCAAAAACTCTCTACATGTTTCCCTGTGAATACACTGAAGAATCCCGAGGAGTAAGGCAACACACCAGTGTTTTAAAAGTGCGCCTAGGCACACACATTTTCCATGTGTGAACCCAGACAGAATCGCAGAACCCCTCTCAAAAGGTACACACTTGTTGTGCCTTGCACCTTAGCCCAGGCATGTTCCTTTTTTAAATGTGCCTCTGCTATTCTTTTTGTGGATTCATGGATTCTGTAAAGACTACTGGAACAGACCAACAGAAAGCAGCTAATCAGTTTTACAAGAGAAGGCCTCAGGAGGTTGGCTCCCTCGAAGAGCCCTGAGTTAGGCAGGTTCCTAACAGATTCACACCTTTGTAATGGTTTATCAACTAATGAATTACCTCTTGTTTGTATTACCAGTAATGGTCTATTAACTTTTAAAATAAACAAAAACAGAAACTGTTCAAATATCTGAAGCCTTAGTTGTTGCAAATAGGATCTCAAATAGCAAAGTTTCCACTAAAAGAGGAACAAAAATACAACTAATATCCGATTCCTAATCCTAAAATAGAGAGAGCTGCTACTAAAATCAGAAACCAATCTCTTTATATATGGGCCAAAAATTTAGGTTGGGGGCACTGCCCCAAATCCCTACATAGACTTGTCTCTGGGCTTCCCTAAAGGGCCTTTATTATAGGCAGAGGGCCAATCTCCTAGTATTAGGAATTCAAGATATTTACTATCCGACCAGCTATTTGAAGTAATGCAACCAGGAAGTAAATAAACAGATTGAAATTTTTACATGTTTGAATTGTTGAGTGCTTGAAGCACTTGGGTACATCCGTACAAACTGCAGATGTTTGCTTCAACTTCCACAGTTTTACTTTGCATACAGCAGTAGAGAGAAACTAGGAAGGTTGAAAAAGAAGTAAGAGCTGAATTTCATTGGATCATAAGGGAAACAAACGGACTAGTAGATGCCTTAAGCCAAACAAAGAGTTAACAGAGACCAGCTGGATTGTCGGGTGATTGGAGATTCTCAAATATAGCCCTTGTAAATCTAATCAACATCATAGGGTTTAAAAGTTGATAGGTAGCTGAGTCTGCATAAGGGTTCCTACATCTCTGTACATATTACTTTCATTGTTTCCTTCATAAGGACATATATTTCACGTCTTCTTTCATCTTTCTTAGCTTGGTCAAGTTCTGTCGGCTTCTCACAATTTTAGTAAATTCTAGGTTGTCAGTCACATTCACTTGCAGTTCCTTCATCGATTCTAGCATCTTCAAAGTTCAGCCTTCTGACCACCATATACTTCACATCTTCCTTTATTTATAACACAATGCGGACTGTGTGCTATATAGTAGAAAATCCATTCCTTGTGGTTTCAACCCCATTAATACTACATAACAACCTTTAATTGCACATCTCTCTAGCTTGTGGAATTTATTGGTTATTTCTTCAGCATCTTCTCCTCCAAATACTGTTTGTATCACTATTCACTAACTTGTAAAACAGTAGAACTTATTTGTGTATTATCCACTGCCTTGATCCCAAGTAGAATGGTGTATTAGAATAAAGGAACAAACTCTGTACCATTTCTCTTAGGAGGAATCACACAAATAATACTCATAAAAAAAATCACACAAATAATGCAGTCTCTGTATATTGGAGTCTCCCCTAAAAAATGCAGGCAATACCTAAGAGGATATGCATGAGTTGAATAATGTACTTCTATTAAATAACAAGTTCAGAGACACGTATGAACCTCTTTCATTATTACAAGAATTCTGTAGAGTTTTGGCAGTGATATATGAACGAGTTTAAAATGCCCCAAGAATCTTTAAAGGGCACTGAAAATATAATTAATTATTCTGACCTGCCAGTTTATCACATGAAGTTCTAGGTGTAAAGTCTATGCCAACACTATAGGACTTCAAATTTTAAATAAACTCGGTTCTTGATAGTCCCACTCCCAAAATGAACTACCTTCTTTTTCCTTCATAGAATAAGATGGATTGGAGAACCTCTCTCCTGATCAATTTCGAAGCTTTTTTAATAGGGGATGTCATTGGGTCAAATTCTGGTTTTGGCTGCTCTAACCTATCAGGACATTGTACCTCATAAAATAATTTAAAAAAAAAAATCATTAAGGGATAGGCATCCAAGTTGCTTATAGAGACAGAAGTATTATGGGAATAAGTAAACTCAATGAAGGATGGCATCATTCAAGTACCATGTCCATGTGTCCTCCTTTGAGTATGCAGATACTTGTTACAGGCAGAATGAATCTTTGTCATGAATGCTGAGGTTCCTTGTTAAATTTAGTTTCAAAAGTTCTGATGACATAAATGCTCTCTTTTGTAGTGAGGTTAGACACAACCAATAAATGAAAAAACATATTTACTGTTACAGGAATCCAGGCATCAACAATTCGTTGCCTTTACTGACAAGCTTATTTCTAAACTTGGAGTTGGTAGAGTTCTTGCGGTCTCACAAACTGTTCCATCTTCATCAGAAGAAGCAACTAATGAGTTGGTAACATCCAAATCTTCTTTTCCTCGAGCATGGCTTGCAGCTGAAATCTTGTGCACATGGAAGTGGCCTGGAGGCTCTGCTTTGAGCTCCTTCTTACCTCTTCTAAGAGAGCATGCAAAGAATAGAAATTCTCCAGCTGAAGATAGCCTGTTGGACTCCATCATCAATATCCTACTTGATGGTTCTCTTGTTCATGGAACCAGTTGTCAAGTTGGTCTTTTCAATGTATGGCCTGCTTCAGATGATGAAGTGGAGATTATCAAAGAGCCATTCTTGAGAGCTCTGATATCTTTGCTTTCAGTTCTAATTATCAAGGATGTTATATGGGGAAAAGCCAAGGTTGTTGTCCTTTTTGAATTCCTTGTAAATAAACTTTTTATTGGTGAAACAGTAAACAGAAACTGTTTGAGGATTCTTCCTTTTGTCATGAATGTTCTTATTCAACCATTAAGGCACAAAGGATCTGGATCTGATGGATCTAGTGAAAATGCTCAGATTGATTCATTCAAAGAAAGTGATGTCCACTATATCATCAAGGAATGGCTTCAAAGAGCTCTCTCATTGCCACCTTTAGTTTCATGGGAAAGTGGACAAGGTAGCTTTTTATTACAATATTCTCTTTCAAATTGATGTTAAAAGTAATTACATGGCTTAATCCTATAGCTTTACATTAGAGAGGATCTCCTATTGGATGGTTGGCAGGGTTAGTCTGTTAATATATTATATATGTTGCCCACATGCAAAATGTGTAGCCCCCCATTTCATGCATCCACCAAGGACCAGCAATCCCTACACCAAAAAACAAAGCAGATCTGGTGTATGAGATCCTCTCCTTTGTCCAGTTCTTGTGATGACTCTAAAAAGGGAAAACAATCTCTTTGTTTTTTCGTATTTGTGTGTGTGTAAGAGAGAGAGAGAGTGTGTGTTGGGGGGACTACAAAGCGATTTTGGCATTGTCCCTTGGTTGGGATCATGTAGTGGGGCTCTGCATGTGGCATATTTGTACTGGTAAGCCACAGTTTGAATGTTTCCATTGTCTGTGGACATCTTGGGTCTTATCACTATGCTACCTTTATTTATTTATTATATCTTTCTGTTGTTTTCTTGTTGAAAAGCAACATTGCATTGTGGTATCACTGATACATTTTAATCTCCCCTTGCAGATATAGAAGAATGGATTCAGTTAATTATTTCTTGTTATCCATTAAGTGCAATAGGAGAAATAGGAGCTTTGAAAATCGCACAAAAAAGAGAGATAAGCCATTTGGAGAAAAAATTGCTTCTAGTTTTATTTCGAAAGCAGAGAACTGATAGTAATGCATCAACTGCAGTTAGTCAGTTTCCTGCAGCACAGATGACATTATCCAAGCTTATGGCTGTTTCAGTTGGGTATTGCTGGAAGGAGTTTGATGAAAATGACTGGGAATTTTTACTGTCTCAATTGCAGGGGTGGACTGAATCTGCAGTTCTATTAATGGAAGAAATAGCAGAGAATGTAGATAATATTGTCGTGAACATGCCCACTTCTGGTGACATGGAAGTCACCATAAAGGAGCTGGAGGAAGCAGTTCAAATTTTGGATCCTTTTCCTCTGACTATTGCTAGGACTGCCCTTTTCTCATTCTCCCTTTTCTGTGGGTTTTCTGATCTACATGCAGAAGATACTAAGATATTGAACACCTTAAAATTAGAAAGGTTTGATCCTATTAGAGATCGGATAGTTGAAGCTATTCTTCGTTTATTTTTTGCCACGGGTATTGCAGAGGCTATTTCCAGATCCTGTTGTCTTGAGGCCGCATCTATTGTAGCTTCAACTCGACTTGCACATTCTCATTTATGGGATTTAGTTGCATCAAGTGTTATTAACTCCTCTTATCATGCAAGAAACTCAGCAGTCAAATCAGTGGAACTTTGGGGCCTAAGCAAAGGGTCCATAAGCTCTTTGTATGCCATTCTTTTTTCCTCTGAACCTACTTCTTCTTTGCAGTTTGCTGCATTTACCATTCTTACAACTGAACCTGTTTCACATATGGCTTTCACCAAAGAAGATACTGCTCGTTACTTCAATGAGGATATTGATGATAGTGAACCTAATCAATCTCAAGTTGGTAGTTCTTCTGCAGAGGAAGCATTCCATTTCAGAGAGGAAATTTCATGCATGATAGGAAAATCCCCTTATAATCTTCTCAAAATGGATCTGCTGGCACAAGATCGGGTAAATAGATACAACTTCTGCTTATGTGTATTATACTTATTCCATCTTGGAGTTTGATGTTTGTGATGCTTTCCTCTTCTTATTGGCAGGTAAGTGTCTTTGTTGCTTGGGCTTTGCTATTGTCACACCTACAATCATTACCATTATCATCACCGGCAAGAGAGAAATTGGTCCAGTGCTTACAAGATTTTGCTGATTCAATAATATTAGAGTGCCTGTTCCAGCATATTCCTTGGAAGTCAGGAATGTTACCTAACTCAAAAAAAGATGTTGAACTTCCAGCTGGAATATCAGAGGCTGCTAATGCAGCAACACGTGCTATCACAACAGGTTCTTTGTTGTTCTCTGTAGAGTCACTTTGGCCTGTTGGAACAAAGCAAATGGCTTCACTTGCTGGTGCAGTGTATGGTCTGATGCTTTGTGTTCTTCCTGCTTATGTCCGTGGTTGTTTTGCTGGAATACGTGATCGTTCCACTTCATCTGCAATTGAGTCTTTCACAAAAATATGGTGCAGCCCTTCTTTGATTGCAGATGAACTCCATCAGGTGTGTGAGTTTGACATTGATCATTTGGTCTTTAAGACTGGAAAAATTATATGATGCATTCCCCGATCACTCTAAATATTGAAAGTACCATAATTCATCAAAGAAAATCATATTAATAGCAAAAATAATCCCTAATTACCTGAGGATAAGGTGTAACCATGATGCTGAAATTGGATCTATATCAGTGTAGCTAATTCTAGTCGTAAATAATGAGGAAGGAAAAGATGAGAAGATAGAGGAGAAGAGAGAATAGAAGAGGCGTAGAATCTAACAATAACACAAGCAAAATCTATCGGGACACTCTTTACATAAAATGTAAATATTAGAAGTATCCAAATTTACAAGAAAACCCTCAATTGGCTTCATATTACTTAGAGTTCCTGATTGTATATTTTCTTCATAAACTGCATTCCAAATACAAACTAAATACTCCAACACTCGCCCTCAAGCTAGCACCCTAACTTGCCTAGGAAGAAATAATATAATTTGGTGGCAACATTTCATAGCTTTTCTTGAAAAAAGCAACTTGAAGATTCTAGCATGGTTGTACTTTCAGCTCTTACCATGGCAATACAAACCTTCAACTAATTAGATAGCACTGAAGGTGGTTTGTGGCTCTTAATCAAGAAACGACCAATCAACTCCACATCTCAACAAATTTCCATCAACAATGATAACGAACTTAACAAAGACCAAATGAGGCTGGTTATGGAAGAAGGGATAATCACATTATATAGTTTTGAAGTTGAAGGAGTGTGAGAACAAGAGGCTTGCATGCTTCAACTCTTATTGTTTATTTGGCAATTCCCTGGATGTAAAAGGCCATTACTTAATGTGGGTCTCAAACTCTCAGCTATCTGTGGTCTTGGGTGGGGTGAACTGCAAGCTGACCTTTCTTTTGGCACAAAGTGGCTGCTCTCAGACTCAAACCATCATTCTCACACTTGTAAGCCTGATATTTAAGAAATGGCCCATGACAAATCCCTCTATGTAGACCAGAAAAATTGTACTTGTTGGACTAAGAAGGTAACATTTTAAGTCTGACAGAAATGGCAGTAAACTGCAAAATGTGGAAATAGACAGGTGCATATAGAAACCATTCACTTCATATTCCACATAGTGCTATGCAAAGAAATGATCTCTTTTGAAAGAGAAAGCAAATTCTATTGTAAACCTGAATTTACTGAAGTTATTCTAGGATTTTCTAGATTTTTTTTTCCTTTTGTAGTTATTATCATATGAAATGACTCTTCTGGTTGATAGATAAATCTGTACAACAAAATTCTATGTAAAGTAAAATGTTGAAAATATTGAAAATGTGTGAACATATTGGGTTCCTTCCACATGGAAGGTGTTGCTGCAAACTCTAGTCCATTTTTCTTGAGGTTTTCCTAAACATGATGGTCAAAACAATCTAGTTTGGAAAATACAAGTGAAGAAACCTATGCATGTTATGCACCACTGATTTATTAGTTCATAAATGCTTTTTTATGTTTGTTTGTTTGTTTGAATAAATGGAGTATGTTAGAAGGGCCTCAAGGTATATATGAACACTATTTATCTGTTTGAATTTTGGGTTTCAGTTCAACCCCTAAATATTTCTTGTTAATTCTAATAACATGAATGAATAAAGGCAGAAAGAATGTAGCTCTAGATCTTCTAATGGCATCCAAGGGATACCCTAGAATTATTGCTAATGGTGTTTAGTTGTTTGAACTTGTCTTTCATGGTTGTATCTGAAATTTTCATCAATTTTATGTAAATCATATCAGAAAAAGCTCTGAAACTTATCTGCTTCTCTTTATGCAGATCAAGAAGGCTGATGTTGCTGATGAAAATTTCTCAGTTAGTGTGAACAAATCGTCTTGCGAGGTCATTGCTACCTATAAAAAGGAGGAGACAGGAATGGATTTGGTTATTCATCTTCCTGCATCCTACCCTTTACGGCCTGTAGATGTTGACTGCACAAGGAGTCTTGGGATAAGCGAAGTAAAGAAGAGGAAATGGTTGATGTCAATGATGGCATTTGTTCGTAATCAGGTCTCTGTAATAGCTTTCCATCATCTTTGTGAATTTTCTGCTTCATTTCCTGATCCTCTAGTTACCAGGACACTTGAAATAGGGGTCATTATCATCTTTCTTCCTTTTCACATGCAATATTGCATATATATGGGGAAAGAACATGCCAAATGAGATTTTTAGGATTTCCTCCTAGATATGCATTATTATGTGGCTTTTGTAAACTCAACCAATTGAACCTGTTAGGTTGATAAGCAGCTTATTTGTTTGTTATGAAATACAGAATGGAGCCTTGGCTGAAGCAATACGGATATGGAAAAGCAACTTTGACAAGGAATTTCAAGGTGTTGAGGAGTGCCCCATCTGTTACAGCATCATCCATACTAGTAACCACAGCCTTCCTCGGCTCGCTTGCAAGACTTGCAAGCACAAGTTCCATTCAGCATGTCTATACAAATGGTTCTCAACCTCACATAAATCAACTTGCCCATTGTGTCAATCTCCATTCTGATTACCAGATCAAGACTGTTCAAAGTGAAGAGAGTGTAAATGCTGGGACTATTGTGAATGAAAATCCAGTACCAGTTCAAGGGTTTAAGTACTGTGGTTTATTGCGTGTAAATGTAGTTTGACTGGAGGATCACTAAAGGAGTAGAATGAGTTACAAGTGGTTTATTTGATGCAGTTAGAAAGTTCAAGATATACAGAAAAATGGTTATTAGTAGTTCACCTCCATCTCATGGATCAGAACAAATTGCAAGCATTCAGCTATAGATCTTATTTTCATCAACGGATAGTCAAGATATGGGTAAGGTGAGAGACAGATGCCCTCCCTGCTTTTTCATACATGTCAACTGCAGTCTGCATTTACACTTGTACAAATTGGAATGTGTTTTTCCCAGTTCATCCTCTTTCAATGTGAATTGGGATTTCAGCAGTACAGCATCTGCATGGATTTAAGATAGAAATATCATACAGTGTTGCTATTAATGGTCCTGGCACAAGGGTCAATGCATGCAAGTCAGCTGGTTATAGAGACATGCTGAGCAGACAATTGCAACTTTGCTGTTCTGATGAATCCAAAATGATATTGCAAGGGACTGATCATAATGAAAAAGCTGATCAGCATATCTACTGGCAATTCTCTGAGTGCTTGAAAATTTTGACAATTTCACTGTATTATCTAGTGTAGAACCATACCATATTAACAGTTATCTATTAATCTCACTTAATATTGTACATGGAATTTTAAGATTGAAATTTGATAATAGGTGACCACCGGAATTAACATTTTCAATTTAATACAACAAGAATTACAATTTGCTTCTGGTTAAATTTGTAATATTGGTGGAAATGGCAATAGAGCTTGTAACTATAGCCAAAACTATCATGACTGCTGCTGAGATCCTATCGCTTCCTGTGGATACTTCGTGAACGTCCCTGATAGAAATAGATGCACATAGGTCAAGATGTAATGGAAATTACGTTTTAAAAAAAATAATAAAAAACAAAATCTGTCTGTGAACTGTACGTCTGTACCTCAGGACTATTGCACCTGGGAAGATGAATGCAAGGCAGACTGCTGTTGTTGATCCCATGAACTGAAAGAAATACCAAATATTTGGGATGGCTATCGCAGCTATGTAGATTAACCCAAGTAGACCACAGGTAAGGGCCCAAAATCGGTTGTTGTCTGAAGCCAAGATGGGGGATTTGGCAAACAGGAGTTCATCAATGTTGGCCCTTAGAGAGAAGTTTAGAAGAGGAAAGACTAACACAAGATGGAGTGCGTAGCTTAAGCGGACTGTGTCATTAAGCAATGAGCTGATCGTGGAACCAGAATTTCGATCGAAATTGACAAGTATATCAGACATGATGGAGTCACCAAATAGCAGGTAGCCAAAAAATCCAACAGAACAGTATATGATGGAGCATAGTATTAGTGAAATCCGCACAGCTGAGACCATGTCACAAGGTCTCCGAAGCTCTGCTCCTATCGGATGAACTGCAGAATGGAAGCCCATGAATGATATCAAACTACTAAATTAGGCAAGCTGCTTTAATCTTCCTTAAAGATAGAGAAAAGGTTTCACCTGTGTTTTCTTAAATATTAATTGTTGGCTGCTGTTCGACACAAATATATTGAAGAGAGGTCGCAGAACTTGCTTGCGATCCCCAATGAAACATGGACGCGCGAGCAATTGAAATAAATTCCCGACATCATGCGAACTGCTTTTCAATTTCCATTGCGTGCCCATGTCTCATTAGGGATCGCAACTCACAAGGGAGTGCAGCGATTGGTCGCAGTAAATGTGGTTGAACGTTCTTTTTGGTTCTCCCCAAATAAAAACTTGTCAAAGAGGACATGTTACATTTAGTAAGGTTAGTAATTATGATTTCATGCAGTTATTTGTTCAAGAGAGTTCTATTATGATATGGGAAATATATGATATCCAAAAAACAATTGAATAATAAATTAGAATCATAAATTTGATAGCCAATAAGATGTTATTTATCATAATTTGGGTGGGTTTTGATTGATCAAAACTCTTTCCATATCATATTTTCCCGCATTATAGATTTTTCTTTGTCCAAAATATTTATTCCATCCCTTTTTTTTTATTCATATTCCATCCCCTTTTTTTACGTGAAGAAATTACAAGGCATGCTGGAAAGGTCTAGCAGCTTATGGTTACCACCTTTATGATTACAGGTTGTCTTATCAGTTTTTCAGGTATGATGCCTTTCCAGTATCATAATCGGACCTTTCAAAATAGAAAAGTTAATCCCAACTATTTAGGGTCAGCTAAATGGTATAGCATAGGTCTCAAATTCAGTTAAATACCAAAAAAAGGTCTCAAATTCAGTTAGTACCAATTTAAGAATGAAATTGTCTTTAAAGCTTAAACAGGCTTCTTGACTAAAATCTTTTTTTTTGGGAGGGGGGGTGGGGGGTATGAAATTGACAACTACTAGAGATAGTGATACTAGCACCAAAACGTGGGTAGACAAGAATCAAATATAAACAAATCATCGGTGATAAGTGTCATGGATTTGGACTAGAAATCTTACCATTGAAGTGGAAGGTGAAAGCCGTCACAATGACCGGAACAGCAGTGAAGAGATCAAAAAAGGATGCCTGATTGACCAAGTCTGGTAGCAGTCTCGGGGTCTTTGTTTTACCTTCCCAGAGGGCAGATAGAGCTATCACCGCGCTTATGCCCACAAACACCACAGCAAGTAAAACGGATATGGCTGATGTGAACCTCAAAGACTCTGGCGACACCGTAAACAACAGAAATTAAAAGGAGGGTAACACTGTTTCGAATGATCTCATTCCAAATTATTTTTTTTGGGTTTTTATGATACAAGGACAACTTTTGTGGTTTAATATCAACAAAAGTAATATAATTAAAAAAATTAAAAATAATTTAACCTTTTAAAAATAATATTAATAAAGGACAAAAATACTGTTCATCTTCTTCTTTTTGCCTTTGTTCATCAGAGTCGCCGTAGCGGCGACGGCGACGGCGCTGGTGGTTTCTCTGTCTAACGCCGCCACCTCTGCTCCGGCCACCTTCGGCAATGTTGCTGGAGGCGGAGGTGGCGACGTTGGACAGAGAAACCACCAGCGCCGCCGCTGCCACCTGACGGAAGTGGGCGGAAGCGGCGGCGGATGGTGGCTATGGTGAATAAATGACAATAAGAAGAAGATGAAGAGTATTTTTACTCTTTGTTGATATTATTTTTAAGAAATTAATCTATTTTTGAAATTTTTTTAAATATATTATTTTTATTGATATTAAACCCTAAAAATTACCCTTGTATGCTACCCCTTTTTTTTTCTGAATGCAGGAATAAAGACATTGAGAAATGGTTCGAAAACATAATATTGGCTCGTCACAGTGACAGTGTCATCCATGCCTTGGCCAGATTGCCGCAGTCTGATCCAAGCTTATTATAGCTCGACTTTCAGTTTCCTCTCCTGCTGCAGGGTAGTGATTTAGGGGTTCTATTTCTATTAAATACTAACCTACACGGCGCAGCAGGACGAGGGGAAGCAACACAAACAGCACAATGAAAAGGAGCGCGATTGGACGCGTGTTCCAGAGTTGCACGCCAAACCATTGTTGCAGTACACCCAGGTGTACCGTCCCGTCGGATTGACTCCCAGAAAGCACGTCACCTGCCAAAAGTTTGAACCCAATTTAAAGATTGAAAAAAAAAACACTTGTTTCAAAATCTAATCGCATAATAATAATATGATCCTTTCTTCTAATCTCTTTCAAAATTACTCCCTGAAAACAAAAAAAAAAAAGAGAGAGAGAAAGAATGTTCTTTAGAAGCTAAGGAAACCCAAAAAGCTAATCTTTAATCCACTCAGAACTCAAATGACGTCATGGTTGGCACGGCGACCCGATCGTCTATTGTCGGTCCATCATGAAGTTTGGGAATACTCCGTTCAGTCCGATGCGTCTGGATTTCAACTCCGATTGCCGAAATCCGAACTTCGAGTAAGGCTATTTTCGTCTCATTCAGAAATCTGCAATGTCCGTATTCCGTACTTTTCCAGGAAAAAAAAAGTTTTACCGTTGACCAACGACAATTAAATACGCAAAGCAAGCCAGCCATCGTTTGAGATCAGAATATGCGGCGCACGACCAGATTTCAATTCTGGAGTTCGGATTCAACGACACCGCACCTCAACCCCGCCATACCACCCAACAACGTCTACTCTATGGTCTATTCTTCGACCTTCACCTGAGTATCTCACCATTTGGGTTCGTGTGCGGACCGGAAGGGTTACCGTGGTCATTTGGTTTCGAGGGTCGACCAAAACCGGCTCTGTTGGTGGGGGTGGGTAGGTACCAGCCACATCACTCACTCTCATGCACTTTTGATTCTCATTAATTACCATCTCAATCCAGAGTCCGAATGAGCTGCTCCTGGCTGCTTTAACTACTAATAACGCCCCACTCCAATTTCTCACTTCACGTGAAGGCTGACGTGGGCCGTTATTATTGGTTAAACAACTCCCAACGCTACCATCAACAGCAGCTCACATCACTCGCAGTCGCCTGATTGCTACTTCGCAACGTCAAATTAATAAATACCTTGTTTGTTTCCCCATTCGTTTTTCATTTCTTCTACCTTTTTCTGAGCCTCTTTTCGCTTTTTGTAAGGTGAGGAAATAGAAAGCCAAAAAGTGTAGCCATTTCTAAGGTTTAATACAAGCAGCTTTGTCATTCTTGACTGTCTCGCTTTGGGTTATTTCAGTTTTGAGTTTTCAGATTGGCAGAAGCAGAGGCTCAATCGATTTATTAAACTTGTCAGGAAATCAAATCCTCTCCTGTTCGGAGGGGATCGATTTACTCGGAATTTCAAATCAGTACCAAATTCTATTTCTGAACCATTGAAATTTCACATGTTTAACTCGATTGGGGCTTAGAGCACGTCACAGATCCAGAGTAGGAATCTGGTTGGTCTTGCGTCGAAAGGATAACGAATTAACGATATAAGTGACCCGTTCAGGATACCAGCTTATAAGCGATAACATGATTCGGACTGGTCAGAAATAACTCGAAAAATTAAAGTTAAAGCATGCCTGCTTACCGATTATAATAAGATAGATGATCAAGGCACCGATGTTGGTGATCAAGATGCAAATCTGAACCGCCAGACCTCCAAGCCTCCCGAACGACTCAGCCATGACGCCGGCGTAAGTCGTTGAGTCGCCACAATGAGTATACTTCAGGAGGAAACGCGCGGAAATCTCTGATAAGACAGCGATGACAAAGATGAGGATGAAGGCCGGAATTACGCCTAACACTTTCATAGTAGCTGGAATCGACATAATTCCAGCACCGACGATGGTGGTAGAGACGTTAAATACTGCACCGGAAACCGAAGCTCCCTCGAAATTATTCCTCTCCGAGACGAACTCCGGCAGAAGGGGAACTGCTGTCTCCACATCTTTGTTTCCCCACTTCATCTTCATCTCGGATTTTCTCTTATTTCTGGAAAAACTTTTCTTTCAATTGTCTCTGATCACAATCACTTTGTATTTATAACACGCTAAACATTGGTTTGCGTGGGATTACGATAGTGACACCGTTTATTATTAAGTTCCATGAAGAGAAGTTCGAAAACAGGAAGGGTGATTTGGGAATAAGATTATTAAGGTGTGTCTTTTGTTGTTAATTCTTTTCATGGGATACGATGAATGTAACAAGACGGAAAAGTGGGTTAGGTTAGTGATCGGATACTCGATGAACTTTCCAGTTCATCATTTCGAAAGGACAAAAAACGCATATATGCATTGATTTCTACCCTTACAAAAATACGAAGTTACAAACAAACCAAACAGGGTCTTTTGTGGAGGATTAAAAATAGTTAAAAAGAAAAAATATATATGTTGAGGAATTTCTAGCTATAGGACTGTTGTTTTAACACCGTGTAGCAGCGTAGGGTAGGGTCCAGCGTTTTATATCAATGCATAAGACCAACGGTACCCTGATATGGATGGATCAACCACATGATTCACGTGGTAGTGGTTAGTTAAGAATGAACTATGAAGGCAGTGGGATGGATATGAATATGATTTTTATTGGTTCGTGAAAACTCAATTCGATTTGGTCTAAATTAAGCTTGGAGCTGAGTTCTAGTCCAACATATATAGATTCATTTATGAATCGAGTTGAACTTTAACCGAATAAAATTTGGTTCATAAACCGTAAATTTAATCAAAACTTTCCATATAATATTATACATATAAAACATACACTAGGCTTAAGTCTCAGTTATTTTGGCGAGCATTCCATGCTATTCCTTGGGAGTAAAAAGGACATGCGATTGACGTAGAACAATAACCTATTATTCAAGGTGGAGAAATATTAGAAAAAAAGTCAAAAACAGAAGAGCACATGGGTTGATGAAATGGTCCTATTTGATCGATAATTTGGTATCCTTAAATAGTTCTTAAAACATCAATACCATCTCAGGGTTCTCTATTTAATTAAAATAAATTAATCCAGCTTACCAATGCAGATCAGTAAATTAATGGCGCCGTGTACAAATTAACTTGATCAAACCAATCCAACTATATTGAAAACGATATTCGGTATGTATTACACACAGTTAGCGTGTCCGTGGTTGAGGGCCACCCATCATGAGGAATCGCATTATTAAATAAAATACCTTGCGCAGCTCCAACACTCCCTTCTAATATTTGAGTGGGAATGATATGACTATTATTATTATTTTTTTTTTTTTTTTGACAAACAAGTTAGACTTGAGACCCCCTTTCGAGCGTCTGCATTACTAATTAATTTTTAACGTTGAAAAATAATAACAAGGCAAGTCAAATTATGATATAAAAATTTTGTAGTCAAGGCTGTGTTTAGTTGCAATGCAAATAAATTTATACTATGCAAAACCATACTAATGCAAATGGTTTGAGTGTAAATTCTGACATATTTCTGTTTTTAATTTTAGCTTATTTTGTTTGATTGCAGTACAAATAAAATAAAATTGCACACATTTGTACTAATGCAAATAAAATTGCACTACAATCAAATGCAGGTAAGGCTCAATTTAAAAAGAGTACAAATACAAATATATATAAAATACAAAATTTAAAAAAAAAATACACTTAAAATTAATTTCTTGGTATTTTCCTCATAATAAATGGTTTCCTGAAGTGTTGATGGTCATAAATTTCTATTGATGGCAATATTTGACGGTCTTCGTCCCCCCTTTCTAGACCAGACTCCATAGGTGACAGCTTGACCTTTAACATTAACAAATAATGGGCTTTTTATTATATATCAAAACAATTTCTTATAAACCAAACCTGACTTTCCGACTTGGCATTGGAAAAGAATACTTCCATTTCCATGGATTCAATGATTATAGGTAGAGGTGGTTTTGCATAGTGGGTCACAACCCATATTGACCCTCTAACCCATTTGTCACCATATTGATGTTAGTGGGTCACAACCCTCCTTGACCCTGACCCACCCATATGATCCACCTTGATCGGTCCATATGACCCACCCTAACCCAAATGCATGTATATAAATTAAAATTGATAAAAAGTTCAAAAATACTTTTCTAAATAAAAATAAAACTGCACAAAAACAATGAAAATAATAAATATATTTAATGTAAAATATAAAAAAATTATAGAACAAATAAAAATAATAAAACACTTAAACAAAATTATCATTTCACATACAAATAAAAAATTGTAAAAACATAGAAAATGAAAAAAATACAAAATGCAAAAATTTAGAAAAATATAAAAATTAGAAATGGGAAAGTTCCCAATTAGTACCATGTACTTTGGGCCTAATGCCACTTTGGTCCCCAAACTTTAAAATGCGATAATTCAATACCCAAACTTTTAAAACATGACAATCCAGTACTTACTGTTAACTAGTTGTTGACTAGCCGTTAAGTGGCATTTGAGAAAGACACAAATGTCCTTCAAATGCTATTTAATTTTCTTTATCAACTATCTAAACGTTGATAAAAAATTAACAGTCCCAAATCCTTGCCTTTTCCAGTAACCCCAACTTTCTTGAATAGAAGATGCAAGGATTTGGGGCTATTAATTTTTTGTCAATGTTTGAATGGTTGATAAAAAAAATTAAATGACACTCAAAGGGTATTTGTGTTTTTTTCAAATTCCACTTAACGGCTAGTTAACAACTAGTTAACAACAGGTACTGGATTATCGTGTTTTAAAAGTTCAAGTACTAAATTGTTGCATTTTAAAGCTCGGGGACCAAAGTGGCACTAAGCTCAAAGTGTAGGGTACTAATAGGAAAATTTCCCTTAAAAAATAGAAATTACGGAAAACTGAAGAAATTATATGAAATGATAAAAATTATAGAAAAACACAAATATTGCAAAATAATGAAAAATATAGGAATGTATAAATGGCAAAAAAATAGAAAATGTTAAAACACTAAAATGATAGAAAAATATGAAAATACAAAAAGAAATTCCATTAAATTTTCAAAAAAAAAGATATGCAAGAAATTCAAAGGAAAACGGTAAACCTAAAGCACAAACATTCAAATAACTAGAACAAATTAAACAACAAAAAATAAATTTTAAAAGAATATTTAACAAAAAATATTTTCATACCTGTTCAATTGCAGAAAATTGAATAGATATTGTGTACACTAGTAATGGCGACACTCGATTGGATTTGGCAAAAATTTGGATGCGTTGATGAGCTCTAGAGTTTTTCATCGGCAATAAAACCCTCAAAACAGCATATGCCCCAAGATCCCGTGACAAGAAATGTCTGCTAAGATCGAACCAGTGTTAATCGTTGTGGACTGCAATAGAATAAAAAAACAAAGGGAGTGGAAGAAGAAAACAAAAATGATTCCTCGGTATCTGAGGGGGTGGAAGAAAGAACAAAGGCGGCAAGCTCCTTCTATCAGAGACTGCATTAACCATCAAATCTTTCTATTATGGTGAAAACAATGACATTAAAAGCTTCTATAATGGCGGAATGAAGAAACCCTATTAGCTTCGACAATTTAGCAATGGCGATCGGCAGAACACAGGAAGTCGGAACAGATGACAGAGAAACTTTCGTTTATTTTCATGTTTTGACATTGATCTTGGGACCTTGATCCTTTACAACCCTGACCCTTTATGACCCATTGGAACCCTCGACCCAACCCCACCCTAACCCTAATGGGTCATTCGACCCATAATCTGAAATGGGTGGGTATGAATGGATTTATAAGCAGGCGGGTTAGGCGAATCAAATGGGTTAGGGTCAATATTGTCACGCCCACTTGTAGGTCATTACACTCCATCGTTATTACAAGGAAAGAGAAAAAATAGTTCATCAGGCATCGACCAAACAAAACACACCTTATGACTCTAATGGCCGGAAAGTGAAACCCCTTTCAGTTTCATCCTGGCTGCTAAATAATAACTAAAAAGGGAGTGAAGTTACATAAGGCTGTCAATGGTGAAATCTGATGAGTACTTTGGATTATTCTAGACTGGTCCAATTTATTTGAATCATTCAAATTGTGTTTTTTGGGTTTACCCAATCCTGATCCACCGACATCCGTATTTTTATCTTATGTCAATGGATTGGATATTGGTTCAATCCGACCCAATCCAATATAAATCTTTTATCAATGGATCAGGTCCAATCTAATCCAATAAATACTTTAGACCATTAAACATGGACTGATTCAATTCAATTTATTTAATTGATCCATCTAATCCATTCCAATTCTTATTCTCTTTCCAAACTAATTCAAACATATGAGAAATACACTATTCCGATTCCAACTGTGAACCAAACTGTCATCAAACAATTAACATTTCTACTATGCTTGATAGCATTATAGATATAGATCATAGATGACAGTTTGGCCCTTCTTGAATTTTTCCAATTTATAAATCAGAAGCCCATTATACCAGCATTTCTCATATCAAATCGAACCAAACTATATTAATTTAGATAGGAGTGATTCCATATTCAATCCAATCACAAATGGATCAAATTCGGATGATCATGTTGAACGAGATTGCATTCAAATAAATCGGATATCATTTACATTCTGACCGTAACCGACTTTCAGGTCCCAAATGGGATTTGATGTATCAATGTTCAATCCTGTGTGCAACTTATTTGGTCAAACATTTATAAATAATGATTATATTAAACTACTTGTACACGTTTAAATCGACATCATAAGTTGCCTATACGTTTTGACTATTTGATTTTGTGGTACTCCTATTAATCACCATTTTTTAATTGTTTTCATGTTTCGTTTGTATCCGATTATTGGAGCATAGTATATTGAAATTAAGAACGTGACGTGATCCTTCAACCTTAACAGGTCGACATCAATCCGAGTTTCAGAGCATTAATTGAATTTAATGCAATCTCATTCATGGCAAAGTTGTATATATTTCTACATACAGTTGAACTGAAAATGATTGGATAATATATTGCGTGTTGAATTAACCAGAGATTAAAGTTTTTAGTCAATT